GACGACAGTACCTACCCTCTAGGGTAACAGGAAAATGCTCGGCACGGTACTTGACGTGAAGAAGTGCTTTCCAAATTTTAGTAATTTTTCAGGACGCGGTGAGAGTAGAGGGGCCTCGGAAGATTCCCTGGGGTACACATGTTCACTTAAAAAAAGAAAAATTCTAATCCATTGATTCCTTTCCATGTTCTAGCTGTTCTATTTTACCTCCCCTAGTATCTCTCTGCTCTACCTCCTTTGGACTACCCTACCTCTAACAAAAAAAATAAATACTGCTTCTGCTGCTTTAGGAAAAAAACAAGGCTTGTGTCCTAAAGGCAGAACTCATCTTCTTTTAAAGCCATCCTTGCAGTCAATGTCTATTAATATGATGGTTGTCATTGAAAACAGAAATGTCTTAGTGAGCGAGGACTAAATAAAGGTTTATTTGAAAATCATCTAGTTCTGTGCTTGGGGAATGATATAAACTGAGCAGGTTTATAAAAGTGATATTCTGGGGATGAGGCAAATGCTATGGAAAGATTTTGGTGCACCCAGCCCATCCCCCAACTTCCATGAGACGCAGGGGCCTATCCAAACTGCAAATCTGAAGCGGAAATGACCAGTGTCCTCCATACTGAGAACGGACGCCTCTTATTCAGTGACCTAGCTGAAGAAGCTACACTCAAAAACTCAGCGGGAAGACTGGACTTGGCCAGAATCCAAATGCCAGCAAGAAACATCTTTCAAGAGTGCCTCTCCCTCTCCCCTGCCCCTTTCCAGTGCAGCTGGGTCTGTGGCATCGCAGGGAGGTGCAGGGTGAGCCTGCACAGGTTCTCGGGGACGAGGGGCTTTGCAGATGCTCTGCAGCCATGGCGGGGGCCTTCTTCACTGGCCCACTCTGGTGGGAACTCATACCCACACAGCACGAGTCAGACCTTCCTTCCGTTCCTTCCAGATCCTCTACTGGGGGGGTCCATGAAGAAAGAAGAACAGTCATGTGTTCTACATAAATAATGTAAAGCATCACCTCAAATCATGAAGAGAGTGTATTGGCACATTGATGTGTTTTTAAGTGGTAATTTGTGGGTGAAAATGAAAGCATCTCTCTTCATGACCAGAGGGGTGGCTTTCATCCCTCCTCCTGCCCCTGGCCTCCCTGACCTGCTGCAAGTCACTGCCTAGGGAGGCCAAGATGGAGGTGGTTGTGAGAGCCACGGAAGGTTTGAGCTGTAAAGGACCTCTGAGAACATCTGATGGATCCCCCCATTTCAGGTACTGGGCTGCTGGCTGGTTATTGGCATTTGCTTGAAATTCGTCTAGTGATAGGAGATCATTCCTTCAGGAGGCAGCCCTTGGCTCCGAAGGACAGCCCTAAGTGCTAGAAAATTTGTTCTTAAAATGAGTTATCAGTTTCCCCGCCACTCCTATCCATTGGTGGCAGTTCTAGAAAACACAGGGGGTGTCCTTAAATCATGTACCATGCTTTATTTTCTGCGTCCTCTGCACTCCTACTTGTGGCCCTGAAGTTCCTACACTCCCTTCTCTTTAGTCTAATATCCTGGGGTTTTCTCACTGTTTCTCATTCTGTACCATCTGCCATGCCCTTCACCACCCTGTCACCACCCTCTGGGCACACCTCTGACAAAGGCATGAGGAGAGGATGTTGTGGCTGGGGTAGCATGGCTGGCCATCCCCAAGGCCCGACTTCCTGCCCGTGAATCCTGGCAAAACAAAGAAATGGGTCCCCAGGCCAGCCTTCGATTGACAAAGCAACCCTAGAGACTACTTGATGGTCTGCGGGTGACGGACACGGACGAGATGGCATTCAGAAAGCACCTCTCACATGTGCCTGATTGGAATGACGAGTCTCGACTTCTAAGTGGCAGGAAATCCAAATCCTCTAAGTCACAGTAACCCACCTCCCCAGTAACCCGACTTGGAGCAGAGAACAGTCCAGCCACTCGGGGGAGATTTCAGAAAGGGCTCCAGCCTTGGAGCAGCTGTGAGAAACAGATATCCAGGCTGCAGGGCAAATGCAAAAGTCTAAACTTCCCTGAGGATCAGTTACATGGGGAACTAGGTTCAGAATTCGATTCAGCAAATTCTAATTTATTGGTGTCTTTTCTTATAATAACAAAAAGTTACTTTTCTCATTTCCAAAAATTCCAAGGAGGCTCCAGAAGGTTTACTTATGTTTTCCAAAGTGATTCATTTTTGAGATGCCGCCAGCATGAAGAATTTTGACTCCAAGGGAAATAAAATTTAGGGCTAAGTGGAAACCAGAACCTTGAAAAGGAATACAACCTGGAGTACAATTCTGTTCTCATGGAGCGGTGTGTGGGCGCAGAAAGAAATCATGTTCGTTTAAGAAGCTCTATACCTCTCTTTCCAACTGATCCCCTGAGAATTTCAGCAGCTCAACGATTTTGGCTATTTGGTCTTCTCCATCTGTCAGGGGAAAATCTGTTATTTCTTTCAAGAAAAAAAAAAAAAAGTCTTAAGTTTTCCCAGGAATTGAGGAAGACGAGTGCTTTGTAATTTTGGCAAATTAAATCTTACCTCCCCTTTTCCGATCAAAACCATTCC